AAGTTGTAACTAGGACGTGAACAAATCTCGCGATTGCTCACTGAGGACGTCTTAAAATATGCTTTTGTCGCTCGGTGAGAATCCTCGAAATAATACTATCACAGCCATAACGAGGATCCTTAAATAATATGTAAATGTTGATAAATTTTCAAGTTGTCGTTCTCAATTTGGATCGTACAAAACAAAAGAGTTTGCGCACCCGATGGCTATTCTGAGCGTTTCTGTAAGCCAGTCATGCAATTAAAATCCGTTCATCCGGCAAAAATGTCGAGAAGGGTTAATGAGCGCGCGCGTATCTCGAGCGAGTGTTCCCGTGCAACGACGAGCGTTAACTTTAACCGCACGCGATTACCCCCCGGTGTTTATTCCGCAAGGCACGCGCACGAAGAGGTCGTCCTTCTCTCTGGGAACGAGCGAGAGAAAAGAGCTTTCCGCGTAGCATTGGGCCGAACCGAACTGTTCGAGCGCGAACGGAAGTGGTTATCGATGCGCACCGGAAGCTCGCCGTTGCGTCCGTGTTGTTGTCATAAAAGAGAGCCTTCGGGGGCTTGGCGAGGATCGAGCGGTGACCAGTGGCGAGAGAAAAAGATGAGGATGCGGACGAGGAAGAGCGGGAAAAACAGATCGGGCGTGAGGAAAGAAGGGGGTTGAGGAAAGTTGCCACGAGAGTGCCGGGGGAGTTAAAAGGGTGGCCGTCACGGAGGATGGCCGAGGGCAACGGAGGGCGGAAGATAAAAGGATAGGAAGAAGAGGCGACCGACGGACCAGTCCCGACGAGGGTGGGATGCATACGGTAGATCGCGAGAGGGGTTAGCAGTGTGGCACCGACGCCGACGTCGAGGTTGGGGTGGACGTACCGCAGGAGAGGGGCGCCATTATATTTGCGCAGGGCCGTCCAATAGGGCGCAGTATCGTTCCGACCGTCGTCGCGTGAACACGTCGTAGTTGTGTCTGGACTTGTGAAACGCGCGTAAAATCACCGTCGTCGCCGTCACCGTCGCCACCTCCCCCTCCCCGAACGTCCACGTCCGGTGTCCCAACGAGGGTGAGATCCACGCGTACTCGTCCTCTTCTATCATCCCGCCACTTCTCTCTATCTTAATTCTTTCCCGGCCCGTATCACTCTATCCATATCTCTTCACGTTCCGTACATTCCTCATCCCTCCCCCTCTCCCAATTGTCGCGCGTCGTCGCAACTTTTACTCGCCCGCAGTATAACAACATTGGGGAGCGCGAGAGTCCGCCTACGCACGAGGGTAGCAAGTAGAAAGTGTTGCGCTGCGACAAAAGTGAGTAGATAAAGTGGCTGCGCTCTTAATGTGAAAGGAGAAGGGACCGGAGAGGAGAAAAGTATGACGGGAGAGAATCGAAAAACTTTTCCGTCCTTTTCCCACTCTCCGTTCCGTTTGCGCATCAGTGGGACGGTCCTGGATCTTTTATCTTCTTTTTTATGTGAGTTCTGAGTGTTTTCACTTTCACGCAACGCGATACCAAACTTCTGTTCGTCAACGAGGGTAAAATCTTCAATTAATTGAGAATTGCTCCGATTAATCGCATTCCTATCTACGTGAAGGCACGCGAAAGATTTGGTAATATCAGGAGACGGAGATTTAAACGTGACATAGTGCACGTCAGCAATCTTCATGAAAATTAAGTACAAAGATTGAGAAAAAGGGGAGATAGAGAGAAGTAAAGAAAAATTGAGAAAATAAAATTTTGAGTTTTGTTGATACTGTATTCAGTATTGGTATGAAAAAAATAATTACATCCACTCAAGGAATACACAAAAGTAAAAAAAATGGCTTTACTTTGATTCTTACGTTAATAAAAAGTCAAATTTTGTAACTAAAAATCATCATTTTTCACTTTTTGATTTAGTTTTATTCTTTGAGCATAAAAATCGATACATTTCTCGACAACTGCAGAGCGTCGAATTGATCAAAATCGCACGATCCTATTTCACGTTTTTAAATCATTTCCCGATTTAAAATTTAAATCGACTAACTTTTTCTTTTTTATTATTTGTCACACACTTCACTTGAATGTCACAGAAATATCTTCGATTTTATAATTATGCAATTTGTTCTCTAACGGAAATTTTGGAGAAATTCGTATGCACACAACCTTTTAATTACCGACACTCAATGTCTGGGGATGACTAAAACTCGCGTTAAGTTCTTCAAAACGTAATACGAATGAAATTAACTGAGAAATTAGGATATTATCTCTTTACATTTTGCAAACTTAATTTGTCTTTAATTCCTACGTTACTTTATATAATTAAGCCTCTCATCATATTTTTGATATCGATTTCATGTTCCCCAAGGAATCGCATTTGAAGAGATATTTCATCTCACATATATTAACCGATAATTAACGAGTAATGAACTTAAAATTGCTTTTAAATAAATCACAAACATTAGTTTTACAAAACGATGGAAAGTAGAAGAACATTTCTAATTTTTGATTATTTATTATATATGTATATCAAAAAAGATAAAAAAGAGTTTTTTAAAATTTCCTATGTTACTTCTTTATTCTTTAGTGTTCTTTTTGAATCCATAGTTTTTCCAATAATTAAACATCTTATTTCTTTTAGAACGAATTGTTCCTTTTTCTTAGAATCACATCAGATAAAATATCATAGTGTGTAAACGTGCACCAGAAATGTGTTTCATTTAAAATAATTGATAATTTAATTAGAAGCAAATTTACTAGATGCTCTATTTACTTTATTGTTGCAATTGTCTAAAAATCTTCGTCTCACATTAATTATGCATTTGAGAATCGTCGACATAAATTAAATTTCTCGAACGCTAAAATGCATTCAAGTTCGTCTAGTGCAACATTCAAGACGAGAGAAAATTTTTCAAAAATACGTGTAGCTCCTTGATCTTTAAGATCTTTTTCAGCGTAACCGTAATACAAGTTGACATTTTCGCGTTGCGTGACAGTTGTTGAATTAGGAGACGGTATTTTTAGTGGACCTTTCGAGAAAATGGATGACATGAGATAGGTAACGAATATGTGTTTCCACTTCTATTGTAGCACGAATTCGGAAGATTTTTGTCCAGTATAATACATTTTTAAGTACTTCGGACCTATTCGAAATTAAAGTTTAAAATAGATCTCCATACGCATGAGTCATTAGAATTGTTTTGAAAATTTTAAGTAGCTGCATAGTCATATAGATATAATAACGTAAATTTTTAATGTTTTTGTAGAACTATTTGTATTAATAATTTAAATGTTATGCAAAGTTTTATAATGTTTATAATACTTAAATAATTAAGCACTTGTTCTATCTATGATTATATTATGCGATTTGTTGCAATTTTTCCTACAATTAATTTATCTATACAATGATATAGACGTATTTATAATAATATATTAATAAAAAGTAATATAATTACTTCTACACTATCAATTATCTAGAAAATTATATTCAAATAATATTTAAATAATAATTTAAACAATTAAGTATTGTATTTTCTTACATAATTTATTGTCCTGCTTT